AAAAAAACATCGCCAATGCCCTCTGTTATACACATGGCCAAAGAATGTGCCCTTAATACTGTCTCTTTTTCCGTGCACGTGTTTGTTAGATAACCTTCTTTCCATTGCCATAGCTATATTAGGTGTTAAAAAATAAATACTAGACTGGCAGCACGTTAAATAGGCTTATAAAAAAAGCCATAACTATATTCTCAGTTCGTGTGAGAATGGAAGCCGATAAGACGCACATTCCCCATTGTATGTTTTCCTTATTTAATCACAGCAGAACAGGCAAACTTATTTGCAAAGCGGTCAAACTTATTTTTGCAACTTATGATGAAAGGGCGATAGATAGAAGTTTATGTCACAAACAGTTTCGATGTCTTGAAAGTGGTAATTTCGACTTGAAAAACAAGAAGCATTCTGGGCTACTGAAAAATACGATTCAACCGAAGATAGAACGTGAAAAACAGTTACAAATTCAACGTCTCATAATTCAACATTTGAATAAAAAAAAAGATAAAGAAGAGATGAAGAGATGAGATGAAGAAAATTGACAAAATATGGTCCATTTGAATTGTGCGAGAACGCTATTGCTAATCTAATCATCATTCGCTTTTCGCTATTCAATCAAGACAAACACAAGTCTTTTTGTATCAAATTGTGACCGAAAATGAAAAATGGACTTCAAGAGTAGAAACTTCTTTTATCGCTGTATCTATCTTTTACTCGAAAGACGACAAAAATAATGGTGGACAATATTGGAAAATATTTTAACTAAAAGTATTGTATTATAGATGTTATATAATAAAGAAAAGTGTTTTAAAAACAATGGAAACTTTTGCATATGTCGTATGTATTTTATTATCAAATTATTCTAGTTTGTAGTTTTTTAAATACAAAAGCCAGGCAGATTAATATTTTCTATATCAGTTTATACTCGTCTCTTTATTATTTAAAGGATTAAACTTTGCTTTAACATAAATCAATCAATTAAAAATTTTCAAAACAATATCTTATAAAAGCTTGAGTCATCTTGTAATTAAATTTTTTCCTTCGATTTTTCTGTAGTAAAAATGTCAAAATATTAATAAATTACAAATAATTGAGAAAGAAAAATTTTTGGATTAAATCTTAATTTATGACATATTTTAATATGAGACTAAATATTACACTAAATATTAAAAAATTGTTATAAATAATAATCTCCATTTATATATGTATATTTGTTATAAAAGAATCGCAAGTTGATCAAAGAATGTGTTAAAAGAACATTTGAATTTTGTGACAGGCTCTGTATGCTAATAAATATTTACAAACAAATACAAATTTGATAATGAATTTTACGCGAGTTGAAGTTTAAAGTTAATTGTGAAAAAACACTTTTTTGTTTTTTTAGATTGCCATTGGTTCAAGGTGGCACTATATCGTTCTTAGTGCCGACTTTGGCGATATTGAACCTACCACAATGGCAATGCCCCGCGCCGGAGATCCTTGATCAAATGTCCCACGAAAACCGGACTGAACTCTGGCAAATTAGGATGAGAGAACTATCGGGCGCTATAGCTGTTTCGGCTTTGTTTCAAGTAATTGTTGGATTTGGAGGTAAGCACCTCTCCATCTCCGATTTCTCTATTTCGTTTCCAATGCGTTTTGTTTTTATCGTGAAATATGGAAATCATGTCTGTGCGCAGGTATCATCGGATACTTATTAAAATTTATAACTCCGTTAACAATCGTGCCGACGGTCTCTTTAGTCGGATTGTCCTTATTTGAAAACGCAGCGGAAGCTGCGTCTCAACATTGGGGTATTGCGGCTGGGTATGTACTTATAAAAGCGAGTATAATATTCGCAATAAGATAAACTATTATCAACTCGATCGGCCCAGGCATTATTGAGTTCCGATAATCTCGGCTCTCTGGGCTCTTTGGGCTCGCGTAAAGATACACGTTTGGTCTTGCGTTGCGCGTGAACTTGGCGCGAGACACTACCGTGTCTCTTGATACTGATTGTGAGCATATAAAAATAATAATTTGTAAATGTTTCTAGAACGATAATACTGCTAACAACATGCTCTCAAATAATGGTCAATGTACCGTTTCCACTTGTAACGTATCGTAAAGGCCAAGGACTCCGTGTCATCTGGTTCGAGCTCTTCAAACTTTTTCCGGTAGGTAAAAGTGAAAAAGAATAATTCTCAATTCTATTGTACAAAGGTAACAAGAATTGCCAATGTATTTTATTTTTCTAAATTTTTTTTACTGTATGATTTTACATCAATCCAAGCTCTTTGAATGTTTTCTCCCAACCTTTTTCTGATTTATATATATATATATATATAAAATATTATTGTAGAAAAATTCTGTGTACGTTTACGAGACTGCAGATCATCGCAGATTATAAATTCATGTACGTGAAGCGTATATTATATATATGTATATCTAAATTGAAGCTTTGCGCACGCAGGTTTTATTGACGATAATTATCATGTGGATAATCTGCACTATATTAACGGTGACCGATGCGTTACCGTTCGGTCATCCCGCCAGATCTGACAGTAAGCTGAAAATTATAAGCGATTCACCCTGGTTTCGAGTACCGTATCCTGGCCAGTGGGGTGTACCCACCGTGACGTTATCGGGAGTGCTTGGTATGCTAGCAGGAGTGCTAGCATGCACGGTGGAGTCGATTAGCTATTATCCAACCACCGCAAGAATGTGCGGTAAGTACATTTAGTCCACCTTAGAACTATTTTATTTTAGAATCTCAATGTAGAATTCTTTATATTCTTTCTTGCAATCCCAAGTTTATAGAAGTTTTAAGATATGTAATAATTAAAATCTCCTCTCCTTCTTCTTTAAACAATTATAAATTGAAAATAAAATAAATGTGAAATTATATTCTCTCGTATAATTTGTCAAATAATTTTCAGGAGCACCGCCGCCGCCAATTCATGCAATCAATCGTGGTATCGGCATCGAAGGTTTTGGCACAATGTTAGCCGGACTTTGGGGCAGCGGCAATGGAACAAACACATTCGGCGAGAACGTCGGCACGATAGGTAAAAAATATTTTGCAAGATGTTGTAATGTCATAGCTAACGAAACATAATGCTTGCGAAAACAATTAGGAGTCACCAAAGTAGGCAGCCGCAGAGTCATACAATGGGCATGCTTCTTGATGATCCTGCAAGGTGTGATTAGCAAATTCGGCGCGGTGTTTATTATAATTCCCGAGCCGATAGTCGGCGGAATATTCTGCGTGATGTTTGGAATGATTTGTGCTTTCGGTGAGTTTTCTTACGTGAAATTAACTTTGCACGTTCTATCGCCAAATAATTCGACCGAAAATAACAATATCAGAGCGCGATAAAACATGCTTTAGACCTTGCATCGTGTGCCAAATTGCGACATCAATAAGATTAGAAATATGTAAAATCGGTCATGAGCAAATAAGAAACTGACAATATTATTCCGTGAAATTATTGTGATTTGACGATGTATTTTAAATTCCATAGCCGATACGAATTTACACGTAATGTACACTCTCTCATGCAATACACCTTTTAATGCTAATTAATTGGAGTTAATCAATTAAAAAAAGTAATCTATTCTGCTGATAAGTAGTAATATTATACATATAAACTTAATACTTCTATTATATAACTGGCTAACAATAACATCGTTAATTTTATTCTTACATAAATATTTACTCAAGAAATATGCTGTATTATGCACATACCGATACGTCATGATAACGACATTATGTTAAAAATTCATGATTGATGCAATTTTACATTTGCTTACAACGCTAGTTAAATTAGCGTAATTGCCGTTCACGTAGAGTCAAAGGAAACTTTGTTCATTAAAAGAATCTTTTCATAATTCTTTCTTTCATATTTTCATAATTTTTTTAGGTCTGTCGGCGTTACAATATATAAATCTGAATTCCCCGAGAAATCTATTCATTCTAGGCTTGTCCATGTTTTTCCCTTTGGTGAGTACATTTTCGTTAATGCACTTGCATACTCGATTATACCGGTTTTCATTATTTATACACATAAAATATTACGCTTTTACGTTCATATGCATACTAATGTAGGTAATGTCGAAAATATATAATAATTAATTTATTGCCTGTTTTCAGGTTCTGTCAAAGTGGCTGATTAAATTCCCGGACGCGATACAAACGGGAAACGCTATAGTGGACAGTGTATTCACTGTTTTACTCAGCACCACTATTTTAGTCGGCGGTGCATTAGGTTGTTTCCTGGATAATATCATTCCAGGTATCTATGATTATATGAAGATCATTGTAACAAAATATTAGTATAATTTGATTTATTTATGTGAAATCAAGGCAACGCCAAAGATCGTGGATTGGAGGCTTGGGCAAAAGAAATGGAATTGACGACCGGTCGTGCGGCTGATAAAAAAGCTGATGTAGTGATTGATACCGAATACGTCTGGAATACCTTCGATTTCCCTTTTGGAATGAGTTTGTTGAGAAGGTATTATCTTATAACATAGCTTTTAATTCGTTTTTATATACGTGTGAGAACAGCATTTTATGATAAATATTTTTTTTCAGATGGAAATGGACTTCTTATATCCCGTTTTCGCCCACATACAAAAAATGGTAAATGTGTCCCCAGTAAACACAAAGTAACAGTAACATAACATTAATGTTATAATTTCCCACTCAATATAAGTGTTACAAGGCATATTATTATTGCAGTTAAGTAGGAAACATTGACGTTATGTTATTATTAGCTTGTGTTTACTGGGTCATTATTTTAAAAGCGAATAATTCAACTACCTCATATACGTACGCCTATTTATCGTAAAATATATGTATTGTAATTAAAAATATGTAACATAAAAAATTTTAGATATATTATAACATTAAAAAATTTTATAAAACACACACATCTGTGTGTATTCAATTCAGTTGTTCACCTACTACAAAGTTCATATTTACATATGACAATTTTATTTTTATTTTTAAGATATAAAGATAAAATTGGCATTATAATTAATATATCATTTATTGGGCTCATAGAGCATGCGATATTTATGCGAAATATACTATAATAATTGCTATTGTTGGCAATAATTGTGTAAAAAAATTAATTTTAATATCGTAAGACAGTTAAATTTAATGATTTAAAAAGTGTATATTTTTAATCAAATTTTTGAGTTTTTAAAAATCGTAATAATAATCAGTGCAAATCGAGAAACTTTGTGAACTTTTTGAAATGTGAATAATGTATAATGATTATCTCTTATGAAACGTATTATGAACATTATGAAACGTATACATAAGTTTGTGTTAAAAAAATTAAAAATTGTAATATATTTATTTATTGTATTATTTTTAATTATATTGCATTGAACTATAAAAAGAAATTTATTTTCTTGTTCAACTATGCCATATTTATATTCAAAAAAATTAAATGATGTAGAAAACAGGTGTTCACTCAATGAGCGCCTATTCATGCCCTATCTACACCGAAGGATAATCCTACTTGTGGCTCATCCGACCACTTTCGCTCGTCTACACTAAGTACAATTTTAGTGTTGTTATATTGGTACCGTTGACTTTAAAACCGGTAATAATTTCAGTACCTAGCCTATAAAACAAACTTTCATCCGATTTGAGGTAACCCGAATTGTTATTCTGTTCGACAGAAGATTATTTTTTATAGAAATATCTTTGCTTTTTATATGCAAATATTCTGATGAATGATTTGCTTTTTTGAGTTGGTACGATTGGAAACCAACTTCAGTATGATTTTCGGTCGTCTACATTACTCGCTCGGATGAGCCACAAGTAGGATTATCCTTCGGTGTAGATAGGGCATCAATGATTACACGACTGTTTTGATTTCTATCAACATCCTGTAGATCAGAACAGTTTGATATAGTGTAGTATAGTGAGTGTAACCAGTACGAGCGAGTAGTGTTGTGAATTACCGGTTTCTTGTTTTTATATAATAAATACAAATACGAAAATTTGTAAACAATGGCTACTTCTACTGATGTTGCTACGGTATGTTCATAGATACATTTACTGATTTATATATTATAAATATACAAACATTTTATATTTTAGCACAATATAACCTTAAAAAAATAATATAGACTGGTATTAAAATTAAAACACATATTTTATTAGTTAAAAGATATCAATCATATTGCTAATATAATATTATATGCGTGTTGATTACGAAAAATAAATTTTATATGCTTATAATTTTTAGATAAGAGCACAGAGATATTTAAACGAACCGATCGTAGAAAGATGCAGACATCTAGCTATATTGATAAACGAATCAAGCACAACAGAACTGCAGCTTGTTTTTCCTCTACTGATAGACTCGTTATTCGGAATAGTAGATAATATTGGATGGTGTCTGCACAATATTACAAAACAGAATCCATTGGAATTTGAAACATTGTGCCATTTCCTTAGCCCACAAGGAGCAATGTTCTCTTTGTGCTACAAATTACTTCCAGACTGTTACTTGAAATACAACTTTCCAGTGTCATATCTTCCTGTACGTCCAAAAATTAAATTTATGCTGCATATAAATATTGCTTTACATATATTGCAATTATAAGTATCTGAATGTTTCTTATTTTAGTCAAAAATACGTTCCATGTTGGAGGAAGCAGTAATATCACCATTTTATCTGGATAAAATTAAAGATGATCAAGGAATACGTGTTCCTTCAGCCTTATCTATGAGTATCCTTTTTATGTATTATTATATACTGTAAGATTATGTGTCTTATTAACATGGAATATTCCTTAATATAAACACATATCCCTTCGAGTACTATATTTTTCATTTTGCGTATCATCTGACCAATCCTTGGTTGCAACAGCAGGAGAATATATGGGCAAAATATGATACAGTTTATTTTGAATTAGCAAACTGTTATTTGAATCATTTTCTTCCCAGAGATAATTCTACAGTTCTGCCAATGATTGGACCGTACATAAAAAAAACTCCACCAAGAAAATTAACGCAATCACCTGAATTTAGAAGGTACGAATAATGCTTGATATATCTATTATGAAACATAGGTTGCTTAAATAACAGATATGCTTTATTCATATATCTTGCATTTCAATTAGAGATTGTCATAGATTGCAAACTCCGAGACTTCTGAGAACGTCCATATTATCACCAGGATCATCAAGTCCTGGATCGAGCGTTCCGCAACAGCAGTGCTTACCACAAGTGTGGAGAAGCGAGACTGTAGTACAGGTTTTTCTTGATTTTTGGTTGGAATATACGGAAAGCCAGCAATTGACTCAATTAAGTACATCTTATCTGACTTCCATACCGCGGCGAGTAAGTTTTTTGTGCACAATGAATCAAAAATGAAATATGAAAAAGTAAATAAACGTGAGAATAATTTTTGTTCTTTTGAAATATGAATTCGTAATTTCGAATTTCAGGATAGCATACATTCCGGGGAACATATACGTCTTGTAAGACAATTTATAAAAACGTTACATGAATTTACAAATAGTGCTACAGGCGACAAGAGCGCGATGGATGAATTAAAAAGGTATTGAAATATTAACAATATATTTTACGTTGCATAATTTCTTTTACAGTTATTTTCTAAACGTTATTTTCTTTTATTTGTATCTGCCAGAATAATTCTTCCTTCGGTTCAGGGAAAAATATATACTTTTCTACGAAAAGCAATATATCACTGGCCATTAGATGGCTCATTTAGATTAGTATTGGAGGCTTGGTTGAGTTTTATTCAACCATGGAGATATACTCCGGGAATAATGTACACTAACGAAGGGTAAGTGTATACGCATATGCATTAATACCGCCCAAGTGTTCAATGTATTCATTGTATTATTTTCAGTAAAATAGAAGAAGAAGAAAGAGGCAAAATCTACGACACCAACAGATGGATTTCTTTTGTCGCTAATAATCTGTTAGCGTACACGGCTGTATTTCAACAACTGCTTCCACGTTTCATGAGGACTGATCTAGTAGCGCCTAAGAATGCGACAATGTTATACAGAGTTACAAAAGTATGCACACTCTTCCACTTTGGTATACTATTCTCTTTTAGTATATTGTTCAAAAACATATATATTTCTGTATTCTTTTTACAGGTATTTTCGCAACTGCATTTAGCAAGAATGATATGCGAAGTGGAGAGCTGTATAGACGATGTAGGTTTAAGCAAAGGTCGACTAACTACCAATCAGTGGACATCGGTTGTTCGACAACAGATTCTCGAATTAGAAGGACCGACTTATCAATATGTACCTATGTTTTCTCCAGCCATCACTTCACAGGTATTTTCCACCCTTTGTACTCTTTTTATTGGCATTTCTTATGGACTTGTGTTCTAGGTCGTATGGTTTTTGAGCACTATTAAACAGGCGCATTTGACGGCGACGAGTTTGGTCGAAGCTCTAGAAAACAGAAGAAAGGGAAAGCGCTTTCTATTATCACTATGGGAATATTTTAATAGCGAGAGCTCTTCGGATGATATCAATATAGAAGAACGACGACGCGTTCCTTATTATTTGGCCACCGCCCAACAGCAATTGATAGATATATTTCAAGTGATTAAGATTTCTCAAGTCTCGAAAATTTATACCGTATAACGAATCGTATTCATATTAATGTAAATAGCATGTGTACAATCATGAATGTTATAGATCAAACTCGAAGACATTCCGCAAGTTGCTATAGTGGCGGATCAAGAATATCATGATAGTATTTTGTCTACTTCTTTCTGTCACCAATCACAGGTACGAATCAAATTTAAGACTATTTTATTGAAATACGTTTTTATCAATTTTTCCACTAATTAAGCGCAATTGATATTCAGATGGAGTCTAGTTTTGACACCAGTAAACCAGGTACTTTTGTACCACTACAAGAAGGTAGACAAACGTGTCGATATATCGAATATATGGGCGATCCGGAGTTGCAGCCGGTGCGAACGAATGAATGTGGTTTTCTTGTTAGAAACTTTTACAAGTTATGCTGTTATATCAATCTTAAGGTATTATACGAGTATATTTTTAAAGCGCAACTGTGCTTATTGTGCTATTGAATTTGATTATTCTTTATTTACTATTCGCTTATCATTATTTTTTATTATTCGGTTTTAGTATCGATATGAGATAATCGCGTTGTACAACAGACGAAATTTCTTGGGTAGTATAAGTCGGCAATTCTTGGTGCCTCCTACCACGGTCGTGAAATTACCCAAGCGAACTCCAACTGGATTTACTAGTGGCTACGAGGAACGATTGCCAGCGCGATTAAGTCTACGACCTTTAGCCAATTACACCTTCCTTTTGAGTGTGCTATTCGGTATACTTATCGCGTGGCTTACAAAGTACGTAATTCAACAAGATCTTTGTGATGTCACGAAATGAAATATGTTCTTACAATAAGTCTCATATTACTCCATGCACTCAAAAAAAAAATTTTTTTTTTTTTTTCTTACAGTTACAGCCCCTTCACGTTCTTGGGATTTGCATTTTGGGTGTGGATTATGTACATAATTATACGTGCAGCGTTGCAACATTGTTTTCCATCTAGCACAAACACTTTTAGACCAAACGTGAGCACATTTCCCATTAACCGATGATATTTTCGACTTTAAGATGACGATTATAATTCTCTGTAATCAGTGTGTTAAACAAAACATACTTACAGATAATGAAAAACGATTTTGGATACAGGTTTTTGTAAAAGCTATGAATATATATATATATATATATATATGAATATATACTATTATAAATAAATATATATATTATTATTATTTTGTAACAGCATTGTGTGTGAGCCATTTTAAATATATTTATTTATATCATATCAGCGAGAAACGTTTGCGTTTATTACAAAAATATAACATATAACATATATATAAAACGTTTAATTACTTTTTCTCCCTTGAAATCTTTATTTTAATACGTTGTAGGTGTTAATCAATTCTGGGATTAAAAAAAAAAAGTAAGATTTATTAAAATAACTACAGCGTAATTATTTATATGACAAATTTTTTTATATGTTTTTATGTATGTTAATGACGTCAATGATGTAAATCTTAAATAAAACATCTTTAAGACGTTCTAAAAAGGATATTTTTTCGGACTTCCGGATAAACATTCTAAATAAGACATCCTCTCTTTAGTAGTAACTACGCGAATAAATTTTCTGAATTGTTTTTGAGTCGTGTATTTAAAAAATAATATGTTATTTTATTTAAATTTGACTAAAACTTGTATCTCATTAAAATTTATAATGTTCCAAAACTAGAATTAAATATAAACACTTCCAAAATATGTAAGAGATAATGTGAGGACGTTTTCACCTGCGTTATGTATTACAGTTATTACGAACAATATAATTGACATCAATTAGATCTCTTTCTCTCTCTTTTTCTCCCTTCTTTTCTCCCATGAGGAGATGTCATTCAATTATAATGTAAATTAAGCTTAATTGCTTCGTATTCATCAAGGAATTCGCAGTAAGTGCTACGCGATATCTGTTCGTGTGGTCTAAGATCGCTATTTCATTTTATATGTACAATGATATTAACAATTGTTAATTCATTAGTCGTCTCGCGTGTATCGGAAGCAACAGAAGCGCGAAAACGATCACCCCCGCGATCTGCTTTTCGCCAGCAGGAAACTTAATCAACCTGATGTATGCACTGGGAAAATAAGCTCGCGCCTCATTAGATAAATTGAATCCGAAAACTGATGCGAATCGTCGATCGATGAGGCACTGTAAAGAGGATTAAAGGTCTGCGCAAACCGATGCGGTACGCGAAAAACAGCCGTACACGTAATCGATTCTTCTAATCATTGTAAAACAACTCGCTTTCAAACGCTTGAGTTAATCGCGCGTACGTGCGGCTGCATCAGTGAAAAGTAAAATTTAAAATGTTCGAACAAAAAAGTAAAATTTAAAATCTTCGAATATAAGAAATAAATTTGATTTTTGTAATTCTTACATACACACACCTAAACAGAATTTAAGTATCTTCAATTGTAGAATGGAAGAATCTATTTAATTGTCGTTATCGAATCATATCACTTATTAAGAAAAATTCCTATCGTTCTTAAAACTCGTAAAATAAGTAAATTTTAAAAATATCTATAACAATAATAAAGAAGATCTGGAAAAGATAGAATTTTAAAGAACTGATCTTTATATTTTTTCAAGAATCAAGTAATACAAATCATTTTTGCTTTCGAAGATTAGAAATTAAATCTCGTGCAAAATAAATATCCATTTTACGAATTTTATTTCCTTGCTTAATCTTTATTTTCTGTAATTGTATAAATAATCGAGATTGTTTTCGTTTATAAATAATTCATGTTTCACCTACACACGGACGTAGGAAGATATAGAACTATTTCTTTAACAAAAAAAAATAGCGTGTTATGTGTTAATTTATATACTTTCGCGTCACGCAGCTTGTAATAAAAGTAAATGACTGCTCATTGTGCGCCAGAAGGAGGCGAGCTTTTAATTGGATCTTTTTAGATATCGCACTGTGGTCTGTGCGCTTTTATGATGCTGTGACCTCTCGCACGCGTCTTCTCCAGGTGTTCACTAGATGAGAAAAAACGGCTGTTTTTTATGACTTCCGCGATAAGTAAAGCTCATGTTACTCCATGTCAGCCACGCTTTGTCTTGACTTTGTAAAACCTCTGCTTGTTCAAACATTTTTATGAGCTCCATTTATAAATTCGGATATGTTTATTTACGTAAAAAAATCAATACATTATCTATCCTTGACTTTTCTCTTCTCCCCCTTTCTGTCTCTCTCTTTCTCTCTATCTTTCAATATAATGAATGAAATTATACTATTAATATAATATAATTAAATGTCAGTTTCTTTAATGGAATTGTCAACTGTGTTCATGCGCGTGTTCGAGTATAAGGATATTAAGTAAAACACTGTAATTATAGAACCACGAAAATGTACATTGTCATGAACAGAACAAGATTGGTTGTGTAACAAAACAAACACGAAACTGAATATGACACACTTTCAAAAATAGTTTTCAGCCATTTTTTTTTCTTTGGAACGTTTCCCATTACGAAATTAAGTTAAAGAAATTCTATGTATATAATTATAATTTTATTAAAATTAAGTAATTATATTAATAGAAAATTAAATTGAGATTGAATCAGTACATAAGTTATAAAATATGCACACTTATAAGAATTTTGAAATAAAATAATTGAAATATAATTTATATTTTTATTAATTTGGTATACATTTTTTTCATAATAACCAATTATTATTTCACTTCTATTCAACTGCTTTACTGTAATTTGATTTCAACTTGAAAATTGTTCGTAACAAACGTATGATAAATGCGCATTTTATGGAGTAATCTGATATTTAACTATCGGCAAATAAATTTTCTTACATAAAGGAACACTAAGAGAAATATTATTTTTTCATTAATTGGTGGATTCAACGATCGGAGGCACAGCACTGAATTTAAACTCACGTCCCGGCAACGCATTAGTCGTATTAAACCATTAGATACTAGGTAGTATGTTCCAGGGTGTGTTTACATGGCTGGTGTAACATGAACACGACCCATTTTCGATTTAGATCACGCTGACACGCTCATCGAGAGGCTGCTGTTCGTGGCTCGCGCGAGAGAGAAGTCATTTAGCTCTGCAGAGCGCAATTAGAGATCCTTTATGCAATGTCAAGCGCTCCGTTATACGCTAGTTACGGACAATGAGTACGTACGAATTACCACGAATGGATTCGTTCACCGTTCATTAAAGCTACCGGCAGTAAGCGGGAATGTTCAAGTCGAGCGGCTTTCCGCTGCTTTCTCAGACACACCGCGGTGCGTGCCGGCAGCGGAATTTTACATAAAACTTAACGTAAAGACTTATTCCACATATTCGATAAAAATATATTATTCAAAACAAGTTGACAAGTTGCATGAAATAGAATAATAAATAAAAAATGAGAAAGAAAGGTAGAAAAACTTAATTATCGGAATGTTTTTTGCTTCGCGTAAGACATGTAGAAAAAAACGGCGAAACGAGAGCTTGCGGAATATTCACATTAATATTCGCGATTATAAAGAACGATGCTCCGTCCAATCACGATGGACGCGATATCACGTTTCAGATGTGTAACATGTGCACTCATGCGGTATGCATATATCGAGAAGATGAGTTCGCCACCCGCGAAAGGGAGAGTGAAAAATGTGCGGACTCATTTGTCCGGCTAGCCTTGACAGTAATTCTATCCGTATATTTTATCGACGTCTAACGATGTCGGATGATATAACAAATATCCGGTTTGTTTCTGTCGGACGATCGAACGACGAAAGACACTTCGCTTTCGCGACAAAAGACCCATCGTCGCTCATTAAGCATGCACGGCCGTGTTTGCAAGTTAAAGAACGCTGTGCGTGTTGTCTTTCATTTTTACAATTAATATGGAAAGATTCTACAGGAAGGCGGCGTAATTTATGCGGCATCGACAAGTTTCAGTTACGATATTCTATTTTAAATTTGACTTGTTGATCGTTGATTATCGAGAAATGTCACTCGAGATACTCGCAGGCGGAAGTCAATGCATTTTTCTACATTCTTAATTTGAAAATGTAATATATGATATTATTATGTGGTTTTCCTAGTAATTCAAGCAAAAGAAAATATCCATAACAAGTAAAATCTTGGAATATAATAATTGTTCTAAGAGAGATTGAAAAAAGAAAAGACAGAGAAAGAGAGAGGGAGAGAGAGATATCAGACAAAAAATTAAATTTTTATCAGATAATATTTTTTGCACAGTATAGTTGTTCGAAGTGTTAATTTTGCCTTGTTGCTTTTGTGCAAATGCGGTTACACGATCATAGAAAAACTTAATAGCATGGGTATAGAATGCTATTCGCGACTATTGCAAGTTGATTGTACACATTATGGGGAGCATTATCACTGCAATGATTCATGTTTGCCTCAATACATAACGAACGGATGTCTGATTATGCCCCACTCTTCCCAGCCACTGCTCTATAATTTAGTATTAGCACAAACGTAGTTCTCATCTTATATCGGCGTTGCAACACAATTTTCAATTGTTAAAGCAAAGTAAGATTATCATTTCCTTCAGCAGCTATATGTTCAGAAATATACGTCATGAATATGTCGATAGATTGACAATTTCGTCGAGCGTGATTTCGACCAAAACCAAGTTGCCGTGTCACGACAAGAGTAGAGTATCTTTAAACTCTCTGCACTTGCAGGAGAGAAAAAATATTGCGTAAAAAACAGAAGAGGAACAAAAAAAAAAAAAAAACATGTGAAAGTGTGAGGAACAAACGCGAAAATCATATCTGTCACATCAATCGAGAATACGCGATCTGATATTGACAGTCGCGCGAAGAGACGAAATCGAACGAGAAAAAAAAATGATATATCACAAATGCGCTCATCATAAGCAAATGTAATGCGTACTGGCCATATCTGGCGGTGGTTGAGCGCAGAGCAAAATGCGTAAAATGAGCTTTTCAGCCAGAGGTTTTGACAACGGAGGCGGAAGGAACACGGGCGAGACCGGCCTGAGGATTCCACCTCCACCACCGTCGTGTTGCCTACTGTCACGAGAGAAGCACCTCAGTTACACGCCACGGGGTTGAGAAAGCGGACGCGTTCATTCGGCGCTCCGGTTCGACGCTTTACGCGCGTGTCGTAAAAAAAAAGAGGTCCCCCGTTCAACCCATGCTCGTGTCCGAGCTAAATTAATACTGAATAAATATTTATCCCGTAACGCGCCGTAACGCGATGATCGATATGCCATTATTCATGTGTACGCGACTTTTCCCGCCTTTTTGTTAACGCGGTGGACGCGGTGCGTACGCGACGGAGATGGCATGTGCGACAAGGCCGCGGAGCTGGCAATTGTTAATTAAGCTGCGATATTAAAATTAACACGCGCGCTTTCCGATAGAGGAATTTTCGACTTTGGGAATGTAATATATCACCGCTGTGTTTTAAATTTGACTTCCCTTCTTTGTTTACCTGCAGCTGTCTTATTTCTTTGAATCGATCTAATTATAAGGTAATAGATCGATAACAGTGATGCGAAGCGTGGTGTGCGAGACGAAATCGACTTCTTCGCTTCACTCCGCAGCGACGTGACATTGTGCCCGTGAATTTGCGTGACACAGAACACAGTCCCCCATTATTAAATGATATCGCGCGGAAATTCATCTTACGCGCTCGCGTAACTCGCTCCTCTATAAGTAATGAGCGGAAAACCCAGCGATTGTTAGCGTATCACGCGACAAGTGAGCGACCGGTCAATCGATCGTTTGTTTGTCGTTCGTTTCTCGAAAGCAAGCAGAAGTGATCGACACGCAGGGATACGCGAAAACGACAGAACCGCATTAAGTTAAAGAAACAAAGATTAGTTACATAAAGGGAACAACAAATCATTCACGAAAGAAGGACAGGCGAGAGGCGAGCCGGACGTAAATGGTGATGCGTAGACGGAGACGTTCACGTAAGTTTCATGCACGAAATTGGCAGTGGAACGTTTTCATAATATTCTTCCGGAATGTTTGTAACGAGACGACTCTGATTCTGATACAATGTTGCGCTATAAACAAATTCTGTTAAAGAATTCTGTCGGACGCGTCGTAACAAGTAATAGTCCTCTTCTTAAGCCATGTTATCGCGCGCTTGATGATGAAATCCGCCACTTATGCAATCTTCGGAGAATAAATTAATTGTATGTTCAATGAATGCCAAATAAAAATAGAACATACAAATTTAGAATATAAAAATTTAATAAAAATACAGTAAAGAAATTTATTAAAATTAAAATATAATTAAACTGAAAAGAGTCCCGTATTTTTTTTTTGCGTGGGATGTCTTTAGATCTTTAAAAAAATGTTATTAATATTATAGATAATTTTATTGGTATAAAGATTTTTTAATTATTTTTTGAACTCCGAAACTAGATTTCAAAAGACTATTATTCTCCGATTCGAAAAATTTCATTCTTCTGACATAAATATAATGAACACACGTGCCGAAGCGCCCGCTCGATTCCTTTTTCAATTACAATCGTTAATTAGAAAGAGCAATTAGAAAGACAAGATAATGAAAAAAAAATTATAAAATATTTAAGAAATGTCGGAAATTCTCAAAGAACCTACGATTTACGCATTTACGAGGCTCAATCACAGTCCGATTGATTCTATATCGCAGTGCAGTGCCATGCTTTGAGATCCAAAGGTAACGACGAGGATTATATGTCGTGTCATCCGCTTGCATCCTTGACGACGCCAATAAGACCGCGTCCTCCGCCGGGTTGACGGTCGCGATGGGACTTTCATCGAATACGACCAACTCGTCGTTTGATGTCTTGAATCATTCCATCCCAACGAACGTGTCGTTCGTGGAGACGGAGCTGAATCTACCGTACACCGTCTGCGAGATCCTGGTGGCGATCTGCGCCGTCTTCGGCAACGGCCTGGTGATCATCGTCTTCAGCAAGGAACGGAAGCTACGCAGACGCACCAACTACTACATCGTCTCATTGGCCGCGGCCGATCTCCTGGTCGGACTGTTCGCGATCCCGTTCGCGATCCTCGCGAGCATCGGCCTGCCGACGAATTTGCACGCCTGCCTGTTCACCGTCTCGGTCCTCGTCGTCCTGTGCACCATCAGCATTTTCTGCCTGGTGGCGGTGTCCGTCGATCGTTACTGGGCGATACTGCATCCCATGAGATACTCGCGCACGGTGCGCACTAAAACTGCCATAGGTGAGGAATACTCTTCGCATCCGTCGTCCTTAAGTCGTTAAGTTGATACCCGATATCGGGCGCTCATGTCTCGAGATTAATGGTAGGCGATCCACACGCGTTAATCCAAGGCATGTTTTCTCATCCCCGTGGAAACTCAATCGCGCGGCGTAATGATTACGCAATTACGGGAATTGATTTCGTTTTCTTTTTTTCTGTTTCCATCATTTTCATTATCTTTGTTTTTCGTTAATCAAGTCGGCATTCGAATAACGAGTAAAAATTGCTGATAGCGATCGACAGTTTGAATTAAATAAATCGATTCTAGTAATTTGCTACCGATTAGATTAGTTGTATCTATAGTATATTTATAGTATTAACGAGAAAGAATAACGATCAAAGGTAGCTCTTTGATCAAAGGTAGCTCTTAGCGACGTTGATGTAACCGATTTCTCAACGTACTGGATGATGCAAGCAAAACTTACCAAACTTTTTCGTTATTTAGTAGCCAAGTAATTTGTGTGAGATAGTAAGCGTAGCGAGATAATTTGAAATAGTGTGCGTATTAGTTATTCGAATACAAACTTGATTAGCGAAAAACAAAAATAGAGAATAAAATCAATTCTCCTAATTGCGTAACAATTACGTCGCGAGAAATGCGAAAACAGATTAATCTTTTTTTCGAACGAATTTATC